TACGCCTCCTCCACGATTAATGATTACATTATAATCTCAAATAGAGCAGACCTTGTAATTTCTTGATGTGACACAAGTATGGTGTAAAACACTGTCCACAGAAATTAAAATATACGACTACAACACAGGAAACATTAACAGTAACAAATTGATATAGAGAATGCAGTTAGCAAATTCAAGATTACATGATTGGAAAACTGAAGGTCATGGTTAGCAAAAAGAATGACAGAGAATAGCGGCATCAAAATACAAACATAGAAACCTGCAAATTTACTCGGAAAGACCCTAATCCGAAGGCGAAAGTTTCAGAAGTTGTTCAGTTCAGTTTGTACAACCAATGACCATGCACTTTCGTGCGCCGGTTTTGGTTGATCCTTTGACACCCATTTGGAAAACCAAAACGAAATTTTTTAAACTCTGGTAAAGTGCTCAACTCCGTAAAAATAAGACGCGAAGCAGTAGTTAATTGAGCGAATGAAATGTACTCAGATCGTTTAACAACGACAACGAAACTCGGGGGGGGGGGGTCACACACCAAGAACCGATTATAATTACTTTGCTCATTGTTACCGCATTACCATGCATGGGTAAAAGAAGGTTGTCAACTCGTATTGCCGTGACCATTCGGGTGTAAGCAGAGTTAAGCAGTAACGCGAAATACCGGATCAACTCACTTTCGTCGGGATTGTTTCTTTTTTAACGGAAGCGACGCGCTTCTTCCCAGACACATCAGCTTTGATTGGTTTTTGAGAAACATTCTGGGTAGAAAATATGACCAAGAGATGAGGGATCAGTGCGTGCGTAACAAAACGGATGTATACCTGGGAAAGCACGGAACAAAATTCGTGAAACGGCTCACAATGCAGTATAGACGAATACAAAAAGGTGAACTACACGAGTTTAGCGCAACAAAACCAATAGTAACAGCATACGCAATACCGGTTGTCCCTGTTGGATCGGGACAACTACCAGTTGAGTTGAATTTCAGGGGACTACAAGACACCGAACCAAAGATGGGAGAGTGGGTGAGGAGGAAAACTGGTGATGCATGCGTCACTGTAATTATTACTTTACTTCGCAAGTGTCTGAGTTCAGATAGTGAACAAGATAAATCACGATACGACAATGATGATAGGACAGAAATCGTTACAATACTTGCTTGTGGTCTGAATGCTACAAGGTTGCCTGGGACAAAACAAATGACTACAGTCAGAGCCTTCAAATAGGTCCACTGCCCCATTAGCAAAACAATGAGCGAGGAAGAGTCACATCGGGATGAATGAACGATATAAAAATGATGGATGATTCCACTTTACAACCATCCGTGCTTTTCAAAATTGAGTCCTTCGGCACTCAGGGACAGCTACTCCCCTGAATTCTCGACCATTTCACAGGAAGGGCCCAAGCACTAAATCGGGAAGGAGTACGTTGAAGCCTCTAGTTACTAATTCCGGTATGCTTCAATGTGCTGCTCTATGTGCATATCTCTTTTTTGCTTTCATTCGTGACCCTTTGGTCTACCCTCCTGTACACAACTGAAAGTTTGCAGGCGACGCTGTTGTCAGAAAATTTTCTCTTACTGCGAATCAGATTCGTTCACTGAAAACCTATCCCAAATCCAACAGTTTTCCAACCAACCTGGTCTTAGTCTTTACAAACCCAAGTGCCCAGAGTACACGCTCATTTTTCCGGCTATACATCTCCAATGGATTCCGCGACTCTCAACCGAAACACTGCCTAGAATGACCTCTGTCAAATATCTCGGTGTCAACATCTCTGGTAGTGCACATACATTACCAAATGTATTTTTTAATACACATTTATGCAACTAACAACGGACGGGATTGGCCCCATAGTCACGAAGACTTGGTATTTAGTGACGGAAACCGGTAACCTAAGCCCCGGGATTTAGAGTACTCAATCACACAAATCTGTGCAAGTAGCTACATGCTAAGTAGTCTAGGCACAACGTTATTTTTTCTATTCATCACAGTGCACGCTATGCTATTGTAACCTTGGTCAAACGACATGCCACTCCGAAATTAAAATGTCTTACGGAAATCAAGCTTGATGAACCATCACAACCATGGGTCACAGTACCAAATTCTGGGAGAACATTTCACATGGGAAAAGCGGAAACAGAAAAGATCATGCATCCTTTGAATGACCTAAACCGTTATCACTATGGCAATTGAAAATGCTGCATTTTGGCTATTAAATTGTAACTTTGCATTCAACTGTTTCTGGGGGGGGGGCACATCCCAGCATTCAAACATACTCAGCTGGAGAGGGAATCGTACACGATCTTGATGAGCGGAAAGCCGTGAAAGGAGGAATACCACAAAGAACTTTGCAATCGGATTCCCAAACGAACAATTACAAAGTCCACTGGATAATAGGACGGGAACGATGATGACAGGCCAGCAAGAAACTTTCAACTCAGTTTTGTCTCTCCGAGGGGCTTTTGGAGACTAGAATCTCAGGCTCGTTTAGCAGATATTCTGGCGGTTGAAAGACTCATTTTCATACAGAATAGCTTGATTGTAAGGGTCGCATATTAGGTCAGTACCAAAGTAAGATAATGTTTTCGTTCGAATAGATCAACTCGTGTGTACAAGCAAACTGGCTCCATGGGTGATTATGGTTGAGATCACATAGGGACTTAGGGTTCGACTCGTGTAAACGGAGGTCTATCATACACCTCAGCCAAAGTAACACCTTTGATCTGACAATCGGGAAAATAAGAACAAGTACTCCTTGAATGGCATGAACGAAGTATCAACGAACTTCGCTGTGGCACGACATTTTACGTTGTTCAAATAACTAAACCGTTTTCAAGGAAAACACGTGTGGTTAAAGTGTGGACCCAAAATGTCGCAAGCCATAGAAGAAACCAAGAACCTACTGATTTCGCTGCCGAATTGTCAACTACGACCGTCGCTTGGGATGTGTTAGTTGATACCTCTTGGGTTCCCGCGTCAGCTACGCGACGACGATGATCCAACTGCAGTTGATGAGACCGTATACGGGATTGCAATTCATGAAACTGGTTCGTGGAAAGTCCAATCTCAGCGGCCAAACGCTGAATTGTTGAAAATACGGTTTCCGAAGATTCACTGATTGAATTGATTGCCATACGACAGATGCGTACAAAGTGTTTCACATCACCCCAATCACTATACACAAGGAAAAATGAATGCGGATTGATGATGACCCATGATAAAAAGGAGAGTCTACTTGGGGAAAACAATAAAACAGTCGATGACTAGACAGACAAATATCAGTGAACTAGGGATGCTTCATTAAGAGGAATTTCCAAAATTTATTGGAATCAATGTGAAAACAGAAAAGATATTCGTGTTCCCTCAATGCAATCATAGCAGTGACAGAGTCAATGAAAATTGGAAGCCATTAAGTGGCAGTAGAGTTGTGATAACTCAACGGACAGAAACAAACCGCTATGCTGTTACTCGAGCCAAAAAAGACTAATTAAAGGTTTAGTCGCGTATAATCAGCGGGTCAAGCTCCGTCACCGCCAGCCAACTTTGCTGTCGTCCGGTTCAATACCACACCTAACCTATCAGGACCTTATGTGGTTCGCCACTCCAAGTCCTGGGCCTTAGGTCACCGGCTCCCACCACTAAAAGCCAGTTTCTTGTGACCATAGGGTTTATCATGTCTGGTATTCATCACACTAAACGTGCGCAATAAAAAAATCAGAATTTACGCTCAAGGACATGCAAGAACTTTGGGCTGAAAGTGTTAACATGCCATATCATATTAGACCGCTAGATAATAATGAACAACTGCATCTCACTACAGCGTGACCAGAATCTGGATGAACCAAAACCGCTGAGCTGATACGGTATCGGATCATTTGGGGATTAATCTACCCTCACGCATGGCTCCAAAACGGCAAGTATGCATCACCGGTCTAAACCCCAGAAACCCACTTGATAAGTAGACTTAGCCAGCCTGGTTGGTTTGGAATGAGGGTATTTGGCCAAATCCCATAGGTGAGATGTTTGTGGTTCACCGACGCGGTTAGAGCCCCGGATATGGGTTTTTGTCCTCTCGCTTTGGTGGTAAAACACCGACATGCCGACACCGACAGGCAGGGATTACGGCTTCCTCAGAAGAGACTATTTGAGACACTTGGTCGTATGCGAGCTTTTCTCGAGGTGTAATGGAGGGGTGACAAGCCGCAACCGGAGACACCCACCCCCGAACATACTGTGTCTTTGTGTTCCACAATTAAGTTAATGGACTTCCCATCTAGAACTATGACTGACTGAATTCGGCGATCTAAATTTAGGCAGTGTGACACTGAGTACGGATTTCAGCAATCAGCAAAGGCCGAATCTTTCATTCACGAAGTGGAGCAGTTCGAGTTTTTGTGTTAGATTGTTTTTCAATGGCCAAGGGACGAAAGCAACCAAGCTTCAACTTACCGCTCGAATTTAAGATAAGCGATCCAAAATTTGCTCTGTGAACCCCGTCCAGGAGATTGCATTATAGAAGACCAGATTGAGCGGGCCGCACCCATGTCTCCGGTAAATTTAGCCTGTTGAGAAAGTAGATAATAATTTAATGGACGATGGATTTGCTCTAGTCACAGCATAAAACGATTGATTCAACAACAAAGACACGAGACGCCACGTTCCAAAATATGTACTCGTGGAAGACCCACCAGAGTAATAAACTGCTGCAAGCCTCCGAAGCATCAGTAGGACCAAGCGTTTCAAGTAGCCTTGTATTTGTATTTCACACACGTCTGAGTCCAAACTGTGTGCAAGTAAATCAAAGCACAATAATCTTTGTAAACAAGAACAATCCTCGATGATTTGCTCCCGTCTGGGTGCCAAGGCCAAAGCAGAAGTTTTTTGAGGAATTCACAGCCGGAGCCTTTGGCTATCCAAAGCCAGACTAGCAAGGCGGCGAGGCGGTGGATGAACACCACGATTCAATAGGGTCGATGTTCAATTCATCGGAACATACGCCCTTTGGGTGGGGTCTAAGTTCAAAGTACCCGATGCACTTCGATTGAGCCAGTGAAAACTAAAAACAACCAGGTACGTACGCCTCCTATTGATTGGTTTGGAATCAAGGTTTTTGGCCAACTCCCCAGAGTGAACAACAATGTTCAGTAGGCCGGTTAAACCCCCGGATACTGGATTTTTATCCTCTCACTTTGATGGCTATTTGAGGCGCTTGGCCCTGTGGGAGTATTCCGCGAGGCGTAGGTATGGATGACCAGCCACACCCCGACCCTATTGAGGCAAAGCTAGCCGATGGAAAGCAGCCTTGGATGATTAAGTCTGGAAAAATGGCTTTACGTGGCTGAGCGGTTTACCACCGATGAGAGTAGGGCTGTAAACTGATTCCTGAGCGCTGGCTGTACTACTAGATTAAGTGAAAAACCTGTTTCGCAAACAACCAAGGGGGACACGAAGCCCACCTACAGATGCCTGGTTCTGATGGTGGTCACCGGCTTGATTGTGTTTCGAAGTATCTTAAGCACCTTAAACAATAAAAATAATACCAACATCAATGGAATGTGGACTTCACACCCCATCCAGCTGCCTTGCAGGTCAGGCCTTGGTTAGCCGAAGGCCCGAGTATGGGTAACTTAGCAGGGATCCGCCCACAGGCAAACCATAAATCCATTTCTTGATAGTAAATATTGTTGAACCGTGAGTTCTTGGATATATTTTAGACTCAAGGAAGTAGAAAATGTAATAATAATACTAGTAATACCGTAAGCAGAACATCTTTTGACAAAAGCCAATTGCACGCTTAAAATTAGCATCTGTCGAATGGTTTGCAACACAATCGGACCATGTAAACGCGAACATGTGCTGTCAAGATATACCTATCCGGATTCATTCAGTTGGGCTTAAGTTCATTAACACATGCTAGGGGATTTTCGTTTTGGAGTTTGGATTGTTGTTGCTGGTCCACTAGAACATGCTACGAGGCAACCGACTGATAAAAGATATAGTTCTAAAAGTCACAGACGCTCCATTGCTTCAAATCAACTATCCAGGTCACTGATTGTGGAACTCCCTACAGCCTAAACTTAAGAGATATGTAGTCCTTGAAAATCGGGTTACTTGCTATTGGTATACAATCGATCGTACACAAAGTATACCATCCAGGCCCGGGATTACATTCTACTCAATACCAACGTATTCCAAAGGACTGGATTTTGTTGCATCAAAATAAAAAAGAACCGGAGGTATCCATGTCGAACACTGCAAACATCGTAATTTTGCAACCACGACAGACTTTGAAAGCTCTCTCACTCCACGTCGTTTGTGCATCAACTACTACTGAATCTTCAAATCTGAAAACTAGTGGAATCACAAGGAACAGTGGAACACAGTTACATCATCATTTGATATAGTTATACCGGGAAGTGTACATGACACTCCTCATTTTTGACCAAGGAAAGGCTTCGTTTATGAAAATATCCCACTAGACGGTAGAACCATTGGCTTGTAACAGATACCCATAATACAATTTTGTGATCGGGCATGGTCCCTTGGTGTCAAAAGAATGTGGCATGTGACTGATGAGGAGGAGGGTGAGAAACAGTTAGAAAATATACAGAGGCGTACACGCAAGGCAAACAACAGAGATATGTCATCGTTTTGGAGGCTTGTTGAATCAATGATGGTCACTACACTGTCTGGCTCCACTCCACTCGTGTTTCACCAGGAGACGAGGAATTACCGGTGGGGAATGATGACTATCCATATATAGCACTGTAATATATCTATTTCATTCTCCATGAGTCTGGTTCGAGACTGCATGCAAAACAAATCACGACAAAAGAATCATTAAAATAAAGAAAGAGGTACATGAGTTGTCACTTCAAGTTTGCTCGGATTGTCTTCATCTTCGGTGATGAGTCATCGACCTCCATCGCAGTGCGTGGATCTCAAAATGGAGAATTCCAGTCAGACCCGGTATGAGCTGGCTGATACACGGTGACAGCACTACACATACACGGGTCTTCCAAGCGACGGAGTTTAAACCACAGATGGGCAAAACTTGAGTGCTTCCCTGAAAGCATTGCTGATTGATTGAACAGACGATTGTGCTTGAACCTGATGCATATTCAATTAAATGATACCCATGATATTAAGATGAACTGTCCAAAACCGCAGTCGGATTAGTGGGTGTACGGGGTAAATAAATACAAGGTAAAACTGAAACAAGTAAAGGAGTAAATTGATGCCAAAACGCATCAAGGGGAAATAGATAGCCTAAGTGATACCGACTGGTTGGTTGGAACTCACCTCAATCAGAGCAAGGTAACGCGACAGCGACGCTTCTGGGTCTGCATCATTTTGGAACTCTGCACAGCAAAGAAATGCATAATAAACAAAGAAATGCACTTTACAATTAAAACGAGCGCAAAAGAACGAAAAAGCAGTCAATCACAGAGAATTAGACGAGAGGACTAAAAAGATAGTGAGCGTATCGCACGGTTCACAGTTTAGTCCTAAAAGATGCTGTTATCTGTCTGCACCACGCGCTTCGCTCGCAACAGCATATGGATATGAGTATATTCTTTTATCTTTTGTGCACGGTATACCAATATCCAATGACAGTTTATTCAGGCCTGCTAAGCGGCAGTTGGAAAATTCGCCTTTAAAATCCCCCCGTGGTCTCGGAGGTGTGAAAAGCAATAAATAGCGAGGTAGTGCTTTTTCGGGTAAGAGCTACCAAACTCTAGTGGAACAAAATATACAGCATAACCTTGAAAATTAATCACTTTTCCAGAGCCGCTTTTGCAGAGTCGGTCGCAAAAAGAAAACAACTTTACTAACATGGCATCCCTACTAGTCGCTTAGTTAGTTGCTTGTAGACATAGTGGAACATGGATACTTGAAATTCACACCATCCAGGGAGCTGAACACTGCAGTTGTGTTATCTTGCAGATTAATCTATTTGGAAATATTTCAAAGCAGCTGTGGCAATGAGTGTCTCGAGTGAAAACCCCTAACGAATGTGAAATCGAAAAAAAGCGCACGGCAAACTGCTTTAGCAACCGAGTCCACAAAAAAGTTCTGTAAAACCGATTCTTTCGCTATGTTTAATTTTACGCGAGGTTTGTTAGCTCTAGGCCGTACAAGCAATTCCTCCTTGTTCGTTCTTAATTACACCTTCGAGACAAGGGAGTTATTTGAAGGCCGAATTATCCCAGTGGCACGTAGATGTTAGCGCAATGCCATAGAACATCCGTTTAGCGTGAACAAAAGATAAAACAATGTTTTTACATCCAACTTGGCTTTCCGCATTACATTAAAATGCAAAACCCGATCATGCAAGTTCTCCTCTCTAAATTGGTGGATTCGACATAACCAAAAACGACTGGACAACGCAACAACCGAGGAGAAAATGAATTGTGGAAGTACGTGCAATTAATCAAATACGCACTACGCAACAATTGTACGTGAATAAATCCGTTTTTTATCTAAATTTTGATTTGAATAGCAAGAAATGATAACAGTTTCTTCTCAAATTAAATGTCCCCCTTGTTGGGCTTGCAACCGAAGCCCCAATAGCGCGTCAGTAAGTAACTAATGGAGAGATAGTCTTAGCAAACAACATGAGTTTCT